GAAGGAGGTATGGCTATGTCTGGAATATGGTGGGTCGGCCACGAAAGACGGCCACGCCGCGATTGGTCAATTTTCCAGCATGCTTCAAAACCTCCACGCTGCTATTGGTCGGGGAACCAGCTGCAGCAGTGAGGGAGATTTGCATCCGCGGCAGCCATGTTGATGATGATGAAGGTGCTGTACCTCCCGAAGGGAACTGTATGTTTACTTTGATTACCCACACAATGTAGCGACATGGTGTAATAACCGATATAGATAGTATGCGCAGTAGGAAATGGCTGTCTCTCTCCGTTCCTCAGCAATCTGTACCAGTTTAAAATAAGACAAGTAAGTGATGCTATAATGTGTAGACCTTACAGTGTGCAAGATTTCACAAGTACTGTGCCAGATTACTATAATTGCTCTATCTTGGAGTATTGTTGCTCTAAAATTTTACATCGCATAGTCTACAAAGAAACGATGGAGCAAGCAAAGCCCCACCAATATCTGCTTAAAGGGTATTTTTCGAGGTCGTTCGGTTGGCGCCGTCTAGCAGCTGGCTTTTGAAGTACAGTATCGGTTGTGTTATCCATGGTCGCCAAGTTCAATAATCTCCAAGCAGATTCGGTGGAGGCAAAGGAACTTTATGGTAGCCGCCTGTATCCATTGGCCGATAGTATTCAACGTTCGCCCCACGAATAAGACGTTCCTTTGCCCTACCGCATCTGCTTGGAGATTAACCCGGGTGCTCACGTAGCGCCTCTATCGGCGCTGTTGCGTACTGCACTAACGAGTGAACAAGAGACTGCATTCATTTCAACCCGTGCGTAACATAACGTCATAAGCATATAAAAAGTCAATATTAAGAGCCATACGTTTAAGTGGAAGCGTTTGTGAAAGAACTAGAAAGACAAGACTATTGTTACACACTGATAATTGAATGTGAAGTTTATTTACCTATGAATATTGTATCATCATAATTGACATGTGACAACGGCGTGTTATTGTGGATGGTTAATAGGCGAAGAAAACATCACTTATCATTACGATTTCATTGACATTAATAATTTCATGTACATTCTACCACTGAATACCTGATACTAGCATTCAGAGGATTCTGATGTCCTAGATTCTGTACAGTGATAGCATCGAAACGTGAAGTCAATTGACTTGCTTGTACAGGTGGTTGAATGCAACAACATGAAAAGCATTTCACGGGTTAAATTCTTTGATAGAATAACCTAAACATTTCACTCTTTCACATTGTAGGATTTCACGGATTTTGGATCATAGATTGAGTAGACACCACAGGGACGACCACTTACATGTTTGATATACGATGTGCAGACAATACTATAATGAAAGTTCATCTGTGTTGGTAGTTACATGTTTCGGATTAAAACTTTAGATCCAACACAAAAATTCTCTCACCTAGAGCTTTCGCACTTCAAAGAAGCCACGTGACGTGACAAGCCTCACTGGGTCAGTCTACTGAGGAAGACCAGAGTGACTGGTCTAAAGCTCTAGGTGCGAGAACTTTAACTCTAAACATGTGCAGACAATATTGTGTTATACGGACACACAAACATATATACTAGACCAGGAACGTACAACCCAGCTGTAATTAAGCCTTGCATGTTTTTCATAACTGCAGTACGAATTGGAATATGAGATAATACAGAAATATCATGTAGCGTTGTCTCTTGACGTGTTTGAGTAATAGATGTTTTTCGATACATAGAACTTGTAAGCATTACTGTAGACGTGAGAGTAGATGTTAGCTAGATATGTAGTACTGAAGAGTTTGCCATGCATTGTAGCCGTTACAATTGTTGTGCAATAAATTAAAGATTGACTATGTTTTGGATGAAAACTTCCTAGCAAAACATAGGACCGGTATCAAAGCGGTTAGTAGCGGATTGTAGAGTATTTGTTTGAGGGTTGAAATCAGAAAAGAAATGGAAGCAGGCTTAGCGGTAGCCTCTACTAGGCACCGCGGATCGCTGGAAAAATAGTAGAAATTGGCCGAGATAAAGGGATAGTATACCAGAGAAGATCCCGGGCCATAGAAGATCCAATTTGCTACCCACTGAGCCTGTCGGGGGATCTTCTATGGCCCGGGATCTTCTCTGGTATACTATCCCTTTATTTCGGCCAATTTCTACTACTTTTCCAGCGATCCGCGGTGCCTGGTAGAGGCTAGCTTAGCGGGTACTCGTTGTTATCCTGTTAAACTACGTATATACGTGCACAAAATGTCAAAGATTCACACTATTACACGTCATCAACGTCATACTACACACATTCGACCTACATATAAGATATAACATCCAATGTAATTGCATTGTGATGTCATCATGGCCTTCAAGAGATTTTGTATCTATTTCACCAATCAGAAAAGCGCTGAACACTGACGTATTTGCAAGTTTGACCAATCAGAATCCTGTTTTGAATTTTGCAAAAAATTGACGGCCATAATGACATCCAGGACAAAGACTACTTCAAAGCCTCAGAGACGGTTCTTAATAAAACGGTCCCTTCATAAGCAAAAGTAATCTTTCAGAATGACACAATTTTCTTCTTTCTTTAATTTTGACATTTCATTTTAGCAGTTTTCTTTCATTTTGACCCATTTCAGCAGTTTTCTTTAATTTTGACTCATTTCTGCAGTCTAATTTTGACTCAAATCCAGACGGAAAGAATTTAAAATTTTGCCAAGAGTCGAAAGTGTAGACCTGACTTAAGCTTGACGAAACAATTGTGTCAAACTGTAAATGCCCGATACACAACTCAGGAGGGGGGGGGGGTCGAGGAACCACCAGAGCCTGGTCTCATTGTAGCACTGCGGCCAGAGACACGGCGATCAGAGCTGATATCATCGTAACCTGTGGCAGGACAGCCGTCCCCCCGTTACACTTGTCAGAGGTACAGCACCTCGAAGAGGTAACTGAAAAATCAAAGCAAAACATTGATTAAAACAATTGCGATTATATTCTTTCAAAATTTGTGAAATGGGTGACTTCAGACGTTCAGGAATAAGGTCACGTGTCCTAAGTGACTGGTCATGCAAACCCGAAGAAGGCTGTAATAGGGCGAAGTGACAAGTCGTTGTGCTGAAACAAAATTTACCTACTTAGGATCGAGGTTAACCAACAATATTCGTATTGACTGTAATAAAAAAATCTTTCCTAAATAGACACGGGGGATGCCGTAAACTTGCCGCAAAATTTGATCCACTGCTTACCCTGTCACGTATCCTTTCTGAATAAAGTGACGTCATAGAAAAGATAGATTGAATAGCAAAATTCTTTCATCACAACCATTTATTTTTCATGAGCCGAAGTTTCGATGACCGTCTGTCATGTTCATCGTCATGAAAGTACTTTGATATTCATTCGTTTACCAACCTGATGAAATTATTTACGGAAGAAAAGATATATTGCTCATTCTTTAACAAACTAAGACCTGTGTTAATCCCGGGCCCTATTTTGCGTTCAAAAATAACAGTTGTTGTATTTATATGTTTTAACAAATTAACGAAATGGTTTTAATATGTGTATATGTGCAGGCCTAATGTAAGGCTTTTTAACTTGTATTGATTAAGTATTAATAGTATAAACTACGTGTAAAAATTCTCTTGTTGTAATGCCATACTATAATTCATCTAAAAAGCTGCCACTGTATGGTTGATTTGAGTCGTCAATAAACCATTGATTTATTGAGTACTTATAGTTCCAGTAGTAGTCAAATCCTGCCACAGATGCCATGCTAGCTCGCACACTTACTTGTACAACTGCTGGTATCACTGGCTCCGACGGCCAGGCAGGCAGCGGTGGCGTTGGTGAGTTTTGATGTGGAACACTGACTCTGCCTCGCGCAGCCGCGACCGTACAGTTGGTAGGTTGAGTTCAGCATCAACTTCACAGACTGTAAAAAAGGAAGGGCAAAGTGTGTTAGCCTCTCTCAGGCTTCATGAAGCGGCTAGAAAGGGTATAATTTCGCTGAAATTGACAGATAACATACCAGGGGAGTTGGCCCGCAAAAGGAGTACATTTGCCGTAACAGAATGTACTTCCTTAGGACTAAATTCCCTGGCATGTTATCTGTCTATCTTTCCAGTTGCTCCCAAACTTAAGCTTGGTTGGGGCTAAGTGTCTCCCAGACTTCAGAGCCTGGCCCGGGCCTAGAAAGGCTACATCCCCTACGGGACCTCTTAGACAATGATGCATAAAAGCAACACTTAAGAGTTGTAATTTAAAGGTTGTAACGTTTCATACAAAAATAGGATTTGAACTAGAAAGGTAACATTTGCAAAGCAAAAGCATAATGTTTACCTCCGCATATGGTCTGCTCTGTTAATTTTTTACTCAAACACAGTCATATATACATGGTCAGACAGGAGTCTAAATCCCTCCTGCTATAAAACTGCAACATGATGTACCCCAACACTAGTTACCATGGTGACAGACATCTGGTTCAGGTCATTGACCTTTTTGGTTTGGAGAAGTAGAAGAAGAAGAGGAAAAGTAGCAAAAACAATATGTTTTCCTTCGGTAAACATAACAAGAGACAAGAAAAAGTCTTACAAAGCAGTTGGTGGTGTTAGCAGGGCAGGTCGTCAGGTTCCAGGTGTCCATCTTGTTGAGACAGTTGTCGTAGTCAGTACCTGTCCCCATACCTGTGCACGCGTAGCACTGTAGGGACGCCACATGGCCAACTGGAAGTACGGAAGCAGTCGGTGAAGGTTAGACATCCACGTAATAAGATACGCCAAAAAGCAGTTATTTATCAAGCAACTGGATATGATTTTGGAAACGGTCAGACGTTTCAGGTAGCATCCACTACCTTTTGTCAGTGCGAATGCGGAAAAAATCAGTCTGTTCTTGTATGGGGGTAGAAAATGGCCCAACAACGGCAAAACCTTTTCTACCTGTGTGTTCATCCACTAACAGAAAGCTAGAGAATGGCGACAGTCTAGTACTCGCGGTATTACGAATGGGGCCTTAGTAATACATGTATTCAGAATGTCCCATTCTTTGTTTAGAATGTCTCATTCCTTGTTAAGAAGTTTAAGCAACTGCGGACTTCTGATTTTAAGATACAACTGTAGAAGAAGCGAAAGGACAATGAAGCAAGAATCGGTGACAGTGGCTGCATGATTGGCAAAACGACAACAGAAATTACTAGTCCCTGAACATGTTGAGGTAAAAGAATCAATATTTCGAATAAAACTTTCATGTAACATTCCTGTATTTTATCGTTTTCATTTGGGTAAGTCGTCAAAGTCACTATAATCACAGACCTTTCTGTGATATACTACGGGACTACAAGTTTAACATGGATATGTAACATACAATATTCATAAAGTTACTTACCACAATAGATGAAGGCCACAAGAAGCAGACACGCAATAACCTTCATTTTGCTGGATCGAGTCCAAAGTTACTGAAGATGAGCTCTGAAAGATAAAACCTTTTGTTATTCCGTATTTCTCGGCCAAAATTGAACTTTTTGTCTAAAATATTCTTATTTTAAGAATTTGAACAATTGCACCCATGGGGTAACCAGATGAAGAAACGATAAATTGAAATACATAATTGATTACCTAATGCCCAAAAGTGACAATCTATATCAATTTAACATTGTTATCATCGTCTATTGTACTGTGGTTTGAACAAAGGAAACTGTCGAATGCTTCAGGCCCTTCTATTCCAGTGATTGACAATGAAATAGCGTCATCAAAGGGACGGTCGGTGTAGATATATTCGGAGTTTAAGTATTTCTACAGTGTTAGTCTAAGAAAAAGTTTGAAAGGACGTTTTACACTTATTTTGCATCTACAGAAACTGCAAAATCACTACAGACATTTATAAGCATAGGTAAGTATTCTATATTAGCCTTTAGCTTATACTGTAGTGGTAAGATACAATGTACATGTATAGTAATGTGCATGGATATTAGCACTCTCAATACGACAGAGAATAGAAATGTTTAAAGAAAAAATTCATACATCATTTTGATACGTTAGCAACGGGAAAGCATTTAGCTGAACGCCCTTTTGGCTGTGTATCATTTCAGATTAGGGCCTTGATAAGGGAAGAGTATATAAAGTAACTCTCTTGCGAAAATATCTGAATTCAATTGAACACAGACTTACTTTGATAATGGTTTTGATACTTTTATTTGAAACTGTCCTCTAAAATATGATTTCAAAATTATTCATTTTTTGTTCGAAGAGCTACCCGGACAGACAACGGCATATATTTGTTCATCACTCCTCGACTTAGGGCGTGGTTTCCGAAACACTGCAGAATTTCGATATCTACATACCTTCTGAAATAATTGTACAGACTAAAATGCGGTTAAAAATAACATAAAAGATTATAAGCTTCAACTTAGATACTCTACACATTATCCATTTTTCGCTTGTAAATAAAATTACACACAAATTTGCCAAATCAACTTTACGACTTTTACGGCATTCAAGTTATACCTTTACAACCTACTGACTTAATAGGATATCTTGTTAACTTGAAAGTTCATCTGTGTTGGTAGAAGTCATTATGAAGCAAGCTTAAACTGTAATTTCCAACACAACAAATTGGACTCACCCAAATTTTCGACTGCACAACTCCAGTCCTTCATTCCTTGACAAAGACTGGAGTTGTGCAGTCGAAAATTTGTGTGAGTCCAATTTGTTATGTTGGAAATTACAGTTTAAACTTTCTTCATAATATCTTGTTAAGTCTGGGTTCTTAAGACAATGAAAATTTCCTACCTGAGAGTGTAGCGTCCACCTGAACCGTTGATGGTAGAAGTGTTGTCAGATTAACACAGCGACCAGGTATGTCTTAACAACACACAAAGGCTCGTCTCCCCGCAACCAATGTCATTAGCATATCCTCGCCTGTCACTAATAATTATGACAGACGACGTTTTAAAGGCCAGCGGCCACGTGACATGGGACGCTGTCACGCGACCTGTACGTTAAGTACACAATAACTGACATTTCAGACTGGTACACAAAAATTTCCCTTCCAAAATAAAAATCTTTAACTTGACGAGAACTAAAATTCAAACAACGGTAACCTGTGTTCTATCGCTTGTGTAACTAGAATAAAAAGACAGAAGTTACGATATTGTCTTATTATTACTCATAGCTCAAATGCTTATGTCATTCTAATGGGAAAATGCAGTTAAATGTAGTAGAAAATTATCTCAAAGTCATAAAGTATAGATTTGAAGCGATGTCGCCTGTCACAAATGTTCATCAAGGTTGTTAGCAAATCAAAAGCAACGTCTTTATAGCTGCTTCCCTCTGAAACTGTCATTATAGATTCGTAAAAACATGCTTATCCATAAGGTCAAATCTATGGAAGGTTGTCGAGGGAGGTATAGAGGCTCGTAGATTAATATGATTTATCAATTATTCAAGATACGATTCATTTGATAATGTCAATCACTCGACATAAGTGAATAACAAGCGATCCATTGTCACTAAAACATGCAAAGGATCAACATCAAATTCGTTGTTTAGTTGTACGTTAAAAAAAAATTACCAAATTAAATTGCTGTGGAAATACGAGAGCAAATATAGATGAGGAGAATCTTTTTCTTTTTACCTTACTGTAGTACACTGTATGGTAAACATTTACGGATGTGTCATCTATTGCGAACACACACATTCTTTATATAAGTGACAGTTAGACCATTTCTCATTTCAATTTCTTACGCTAGGGCAGGTCTTTCATGACATTCTGTCATTTCTATTCCATCAGACTTAATGATTTATTAGTGTTGGTTACCAGGGAAGACACTTGTTTATACAACAAACAATACAGAAAAACAAAGACCACACCATACGTTAAAGGCACCCAGTGCAGTTTTTAGGGCTTGGAAACACGATTTTTCAAAGCCAATATTCTAGTTATTTATCTACATACTGAGTTGAAACCACACTATCCCAATATATATCAAATCTCATGTTGCACAAATTGCCCAAAACTCGGAAAATGGTTACTGGAAGGGCCCGGGCTGATACTTAGGGTACCACCCAGAGAATAAAGGACTCATCTTGAGGCTTGTTTCTTCAGTTTTAAATGCCCAAATTAGAAAATGCGAACTCAAATAATGTGCTGATGTGACGCTGTATGTGTCAATATCATAAAGATGGCCTTATTCAGAATATTTCCAGTTTTCCTGCCCTGAAATAGCTTTTAATAAATGAAAACATTACGAAAAACAGGTGCATAAAATCGGCACATTAAATATGCACCTTTTGGGAGCAACCAGGTTATTATGATATTATAAAAGAGGACGAACATAAAGTGGCACCTATGATTATTAAATCTAACCGTAACCTATGATAATCATACACAGTTGCGAAGTAATTTTAAGGCGCCAACGACAAGAATGCACTGTTATATCGTGTTTGTAAAAATAAATTGTGAGAATTAGGAAGTGTTATGTATATGCTGAATTTGGTAAAGCAGAAAGGACAACCTACATTTTTATTGTTTAACAGTTAAAAGACTTGAAGAAGGTCTCTCGTGCTTTAATGCGAGCGTAGGGTGGTGCCGATCTCCATTGCTGTGCTGTGTTTTTGATATTCCCAGTCACACTTTTTCTCATATGTGCTGAGTGCTAAGCAGAGAAAGAAGTGTGTACCATTTTTAAAGTCTTTGGTATGACCCGGCCGGGGTTTGAACTCACGACCTCCCGGTTACAAAGCGAGCACTCTACCAATTAAGATATTGCACCAGTGCAAAGACTTGCCATAATGTTAATCTACAGTCTCAATGCTTAGCGGTGGTTCAGTGTTTTGGTTGGGTTTGATGTACAACAGTTCTATGTGATCAGGGTCAATGGTGTTGCAGTTCTCATTGATGTACCAGGGGGCGCTCTGCAGATTTGGGAACTCCGATGACGTCTGTGTGACGTTGACCGTTGGACGTGTGTTTGCAGGTTTGGGAGTCGTGTGAGATTCGTTGGTTCTAGCTTCCAATCTTCTGTTGAAGGAACAACAACAAAAAAAACTTCCGATGAGTTTCAACGTGTCCGTACATAAATAAAAAAATCGGACATTTTAGGCTTCCATGACGTATATTGCGTATTCGCAAATGTATTGGAATGGTGGAGGGGATTGTATGATGTAATTTGACTGGGTATTACACCAGATTCTGAATACCCACTTACTCCTATCAGGTGCCTACTGGGTCACCTTCAGGCTTGATTTCCCTGTCAATCAATAAGGCTATCAAAATCATCTCCCACCCTCCACACAACCGTTATATAGTGGGCCCAATGGCAATGGCACGGAGAGAGCTTGTAGTAATTACAGTGTTTCATTTATTCTTCTAATAGAATGTATGTAACATAGGCAATACACAGACAGTCTAACCTTTTCATCCAATAGACACAGCACATAGCTACGACCATCAGGAGTACGGCTACACCTCCCACCGTTACTGGAATGATGATCTCCAAATGATCAAATTCTGATGGT